TACTGCACTAACACTTGTGAAGTTGTTTACTACTGTCTGAAATTTTCCTACTTGGTTTTCTTGGCGAAGGAGACCAAAAAAAGAGGCCAGGAGAGATACTCTAGACATGCAAAGCTCTGCCTCTACCAACATGAGAAGCAAACTGCACACGCAACAGTGCCAGCATGACAAAGCAGGAAATGCTAACCTAAACGTTAGTTCCAAATTTGGAGGCACATGCAGCACAGGCCATTTCAGTGCAGTGTGTTATGATCCCAAAATACCAAGACAAAAGCCATACTTCAAAGGACTTTGACTTTTGAGAACAAAAGTCCAGTAACAATCCCCAAATGCCTCTTGGGAAAATAAACCTGCTCAACAATTTAAAGAAAACAGAACATATCACTGCAAAATCATAATGCAGTCCATGTTGGAAACAGTATTTCTTTCACATGTGATTGTATAAGCTCAGGAGATCCTAGACAAGCGTATAAGCAAGCAGTTAGCCTAGAATGTGTGACGTAAAGCTGTTTTGTCCCTACAAGTATGATTAGACATTATCTCCTAGGTACACTGTTTACCTGTAGTTGGAATACTACAGGATTTCAGCCATTACGGCAAAGCATCCTGAACCCTACATACCAATGCCAAGTTTTACTGTGGGAACACATCAGCACTTCTGCTACTGTAGCTATAAATGGGTCTAAACATATACTCAGAGAGAACTATAAAGTAGCAGTTATCCTAACATTGTGTTGTTTAATGGTCATACATGGCATGAACAAAACACTTGGAAAAAACCCAAGTCATTTAAAAACAATGCCATCATATGCAGGATACCTTCCAACTTCCAGGTACGGAATAGGTCATTCCAGCTCTGAGCATATTTTTAAGTTTCCAAAATATTCTTTATTAGTTGAATTCCATTTGGATTTTAGTTTTTCCTCAAAAAATTTTAGTTATGCTTCTGTTCATATGCGGAACACACTAAAGAGTAAAAGGCTTTCACCAAGACTGCACACAGCCTGGTAAGTCACTGTTTCTTGTGCTAATCTAAATCCAGGCAGCATCTTATTCATCATTGTGAACGAAAAATACCTATTCTAAATCCACTTGTACTAGACACATTAGAGTTGACTTTTCTGCTTCTTGCAACAAAGTTAGCATGTGGTTTTGTTACACTAGATTTGTTTAAAAGTCAAACTCATAGCAGTAGTAATGCTGCAGAAAAATATACAAAATACGCTAGTGAGATTAAAAAAAAACATAGGAAGCTTATATTATCAAAAAGCACCTTCTATATGCAGTATTAAAGCAATTTCACCCTGAAAAAAAATTCAAAAATACTTTGAAATATCAAGCACTTTGAAATGCACTCAGTTAAGTATATTTTATCCTCTCAAACTTACTCTATGCAACACTGTTGAAAAAAGACTTTCATCATTTCACAAATAACAGGCAACATGAAACATATGGGGTATCAATAAATCAGTGTTTCAGCAACTTCAAGAATCCATCAGATTCCAGTTTTTGTAGGGCTGTGTTGGTCCTCTGCATGTGAATATCAAAACACCATTGATTACATATTTTACCTACCTCAGATTTAGTGCACAGTCTTAGAAACCTCACTACAAACTGCAGGTAACTGAATGATGGTCCACTTCAACTATTTGTTTTCATTTTCACTCTTAACAGCCGCTACATTTTTAATGTTTTCTGTTTCCACAGAAACATCTATCAGTATTTAACCCTTCTATCCACTATAACAAGCTGAACATTTGCTACACAAAACTATTTGGTTAAATGGTGACTACTCATGTCCTGCGGAACAAGCCATAGTTGCAAGACCTAAGAGTGTACTTCAAGGGGACAAAAAACCTGCTGGTAAAAGGCTTGGTCTTTCAGACTACCTGAAATAATGGAAAAGCTGAACTGGAGAAAATAAGAAGTCAATTATCCAAGAGTAAACTGGGCTAATGAAGTACAATATTTTGTGTGATGTGACAGTAAACCCTTACTGATCTTGGTGTGTTTCAACTGATTTCTTCCTGAAGACATCTAAATGCTGTATTTTTTCCCCTAACCTCTCCATAAAAATGCAGAAGGTGAAAATGATTGCTATTTTTACTGAACTCTAAAAACTGACACCCTATTTGAAGGCTTATTCTTCTGCTATCATAATCATCACAAAGCATACTAAGGAGGGGGGAGACCTATAATTGGATGCAAGCAGTATAATAGTGAAATTATCAATCTTGAAGTGCTGCAAAAGTTAAAGGAACAGCCACCTTAAAATGTGTACTTTTCAAAACCATTTTTTCTTGACAAAAGGCTCCAAAACAATTGGATCTAGCAACCGCTCAGTAAGGGAAAATATTTATAATGCCTTAACATAGCATTTATATCAGAAATAGCTTATGAAAAAATCTTCCAGGCTCTTGATAATTTAAGTGTGTTGACGGTGTCCTTTAAGATCTAAAAGTGAGATCCTGTGATCAGCTGATCACATGGTAACTCAATCTTTATGAGTAACTAAGCCAGTACTTATTTACTTAAAGAGCAGTATGATAAACAATAAAAATCCAAACATTAAAGCTGCAAGAAAATATGAAGCAGATTTTCCCCAACTTCAGAATGACCGTTCAGCCACCACTCTTGTTCAGAAGGTCAGCTGATGGAGAACTCTGGTCAACTTTGAAAGAAATCGAGTATATTGAGTCACTCTGTCATTTAAACAAACAGTTCACACTCAGCAGGGGTACAAGATATCACACTGGTAGAGACATAACCAGACAATCCCATCAGGCTTGTATCATGTCTTGTCATTTGCATGTGTAAGAAAAGTCAGTTTTACATTTGTTCATTTTCATGTAACAAGTGGATCTCAGCAACTATTTAGAAGTCAATACACCAAAATACAAGCATGACAGTCCAAAGATGTTTTAGCCACAAATTTCCCGCAGAAGATGAATAGAAGTTTGGATTTTATTACATCACATAATACCACACCTAAGATGGTCTATACATTGGGGTTTTTTGTAAAATTATCTTCTCTTACTCTGGCATACTCAGTCTTCCAATATCTGCCTGCTAAATTTCAGTTAACTACTATTTTATAGTCTTAGTATTTGTAGCTTCTTCAGAAAAAAGTTAATCAGCAATTTCTGTTCTGAATGAAAACTATTTCAATTGCAACTAAGCACTCTGACCACTTTTATTTTCCTGGTTTAAGTTTCTTATACCATGCAATGGTAAACATTTGTCTGGACTAAATTTTCGGTGGTAGACAAGAATAACAAGAAAATGACAAGCTACCAAAACAAAGACCAGTGTGAAGTTGAGGACAATTAGCTGCCCCAGATCTCATCCTGCAAATGCTGAAGCATCAGTTAAGTATCGTGGAATTTGATTTCTTTTTTAAAAATTGCTATTTTGGTTAGAATAGCCAAAATGGGGACCGTTGACTTCAGCACCAGATGACCTGCCATTTTCAATACATTCATCTATTTTTGCTAAATAGAGATCGAATTTCAATTTAGTCACCTGTCTAAATATGTGAATACCTCTTCAACAGCCAGCTCCACATGTGGAATGGAGAAAAATATTCCTAAGTGAGGATGGGTTCAAGCCCAGAGAGAATTACAACCAGAACAGATCAAACAAAGTCATTGTTTCACAGGCAAAAGAGCAGCTATTGCAGTAATGAACACTACTAGTGAGTCAAAACAGTCATGACAACTCAACTGCCCACTTGAGTAGTTGAGCACAGCTGGTTCACTTAGAGCAAATTACTTGACATGGGTTTAATTAGAGTAATTATCAGTAGCAATGGGAAAGAGCAAGTATTTTGTGTATGGGCCTAGAGGGGTTAAGTGTTCAAGAGTAATATAGCTCCTGTAACTAAACAAAAACACCAGAAAAATGGGAAAATTACACACAGATGTATGAGGACAGCAGACGGCCATAGGAAAAAATGTGATCCCATGTGTGGAACTAGCACTTTTTTTTAAGTTACATCACTAAACAGGCATTGTAAAAATGTTTAGGCTCACTTGATCATCTCATGGGGAAGCCATACAATGCAGCATGACAAATTTCCTTCACAAACAAACATGGCATGTTATCACGAACCCTGCTTAGACTGAAAAGAGAAGGGGACTTATGTTCACAACCACATTCCCATGTTAAATACCAAGAGCAGTACTAAGCACTAATCCTCAGAGAGTGGACAATTACATGAGAATACCCAACAAAAAGGGGAGATTCAAGTCAGTAGGCCCCACATGAGAAGTACATTATATACTTTGCCCAACACTACTAGTACCCTTCAAGTGAAGGAAATTCAGGCTTTGATCCAGCACCAGAAAGAACTCTGAGTCCTAATGCACATGTTTAACCTACAACATCTGTATTTCAGCAGCTCATACTAATGAGCTTGAGAATGCTGGCCCACACCAAAAAAATCCTGTTTCAAAGGGATAGTTGCAATAGAGAGATTAAAAAAAGCACAGCCTCTCGAGGCTCTGATACAACAGGCAGGTTTATAAAAATACACGTACGCAGAGAAATGTTGAGGTAAACTCACTGGAAAGAAAGTGTTTTGAAAAAGTTGTGCTCCTTCCAGTACTTTTGGACATGCAGTGTTGTTAGAAAAATGGCTCATCTCCCAAACTGTTCAGCACTGTATAGAAAAAGCAAAGTTTTTCATAACCCTAACAGGCTCACCAGCTAAGGTACTGAGCACAAACTTGACAAAAAAAACTTTTAACTGAAAAGGTCAACTTGGAGGCTACATCACAGCTTAAAAACTGAGAAATGACTGAAATTAAAGGAAAAAAGTAAGCTGGGTACCAGACTGTATTCAGTGACAGTACTTCTTCAAGCTAGCTGAGCTCTGCTAACTTTGAAAGAAGCCCCCATATTGAATATTCCATGAAGATGCCACTTTGGACAACTAGCTAATTACTGTCTCTGGGAAGTTTGTGTTTTAAGATTTTTCCACCTAGCAACAGTCAACCTACCTGCCCATAGTTGTCTATGCCAGTTACTAATCTATTTAAATTTAATAAATCAAAAGCTGTCCTTAGGGACTGGCCAAGAGTCGTAAGTCCTTCAGCTTGAAGGTTTTTCAGTTCATTCATAAACGTTGCATGGTTTTCCTTCCAGCCAGCCTGCAAAGAGAAACATGAGAAGATTCATTCTGCAGAGACGAGTTTTGCTTTCTTGTTAGGCTACAAAGAGCCTTCCCCACTGCATGCGGCTCACTACAAATGCTAACAAAATACCTCAGAAGTTAGCAGTATTTGATATTGATCCAAAAAGCCTGAAACGATGCACTTCTCTTAATCTTTAGCACTCCCCATTTACCAAACGCAAAAGCATTTTGTTTTGTTCCACGGGACAAATGTCTTTGAGGACACCGGTGCCCAAACCTTAGAGCTATTTACATCACCATCTCAGAGTTGTGCCCAGATAGACGCCAACTGCACTGTGAAGCGACCTCCAACAGGTTCACCGTCCTGTGTCATGTGGACCCGCCGCCCCCTTCCCCCGCGCGGTGCGTCCCCCCCCCTCCCCCGCCGTGGCGGGGCCAGGGAAGTGCCGTCCCCTTCCGAGTCCGGGGCTCTCCGGGCATTAAGTCGGTCCTTTCCCCGGCTCGCCCCTTCCAAGCCGAACTCTCCTTGGAGTTGCTGTCACTTCTCCCAACTTGAATAAATATCCCCCACAGTTCATTGCTGCTCGCACACACCGCACAGGGGAAAAGCGTCGGCCATGTTGATGTCAGCGCCGCCGCCGGAGCCCGTGTGTGCCGCGCTCCCCCGGACCGCCGGCAGCCGGGGCGAGGCGGGCGAGGGGTGGACGGGCCGGAAGGAGGCCGGGGAGGAGGAGGGGGTGAGCGGGGGTTACCTTGATAGCGTAGGGAGGCTCCTCGAAAGTGACCAGCATGTACCTGTCTCCCCTGCTGGCCGGGTCCCGGGCTCGGAGCTGCGGCGCGGGGGACAAAGCAGAGGGTGAGCCGAGAGGCGGCGCCGCCGGCGGAGCCCCCCGGCTCGGCCCGGCCCTCCCCTCCCTCCCCGCACACACACGCACTCTCTCGCTCTCTCCCGCCCGCCCTCACCCCGCGCCCCCGGCCCAGGCAGCCCCCCGCTCCCTGCCGCCCCCTCCCCTCCCCGCGCAGTCACTCTCGCTCGCTTCCTCTCGCCTCCTCTCGCAAGGCAGAGCCCGGTACCTTCATGAAAGTCTCTACAGCGCCTTTGGCTATGTCCAGATAGGTGGTGCCCAGATGGGTGCGCTGGTTCATGGAGGCGGACGTGTCTATCAGGAAGAGTAAGATGGGCATAGTGCGGAGGGGCCGGCGGCCGGACGGCTACATGGACAGCGGGCGGGGGGCTGAGGGGAGAACCGTGGGGGGAGGTGAGGGGGAAAAGGGGAGAAGAGAGAGAAGACGGGGGACGGGAGAGGAGTAAGTGGCTGTGAGTGCTGTGCACGGGGAAGGGCGCCTCCCCGCTGCCCCTCTGCCGAGGCGGGGGGGAAGGGGGGGCAGCCCTGCCTGCCCTGCCCTCCTTTGTGTGAGGGGCCTGCTCAACCCAACACAGGCTGGTTTATGAGGGAGAGGCGGATAGGGCTGCGCTGCTGGCTAACCTTCCCCCCACCACCACCTTCCTCCTCCACCGCCGCCCGCCCTCCCCTCCCCCTGTTGATGTTACTCAGAAGTTTCAGGCGGAGCAGCCGCAGCCCCGCTACCCCGGCACTTTCTCGCTCTGACTGAGGCGCTTCCTCGCTCGCCGCTCGCTTTTAAGGCAGCCTGGGTAGGTCGGCCCCGCCCCTCAAGGACACGTCCCTGTCCCACGTGACTGCCTCCCGGTTCCACCATAGGGCTCCTGTAACCGCTCATTAGCATATTCAAATCGGCGGGGCGGGCCGGCCGCAGCCGTCGGGGACGCGGGTGGCGGGGGCGCGCAGGCGCAGCCGCGGGCTGTGGGGCGCCCGGCCGGGGGACACGGGGCAGGGCGGGCAGCGCCGGTGCTGCCATGGACGCGCCCTGTGGATGCGCTCCAGGCGCCGAGCATGTGGAGGGGCAGCGCGGGCGGGACGGGAGGGACGGACGGGGGAGGGATCTGTCGCCGCCGCCCCTCTCGCTGAGCTATTTCGAGGGCTGCGGGGTGACGCGTCCCTCGGGGGCAGCGCCCTGCCCGACCCGCCCGCTCGGGGAGGGCGGGGGTGGCCCCTGGGGAGCGCCGGGCCGGGCCGGGGCGGTGACTCCGGCGCTGGCGGCTTACCGCTGCCGGGAGCGGCGGGTGAGTCACGGGGGTGGGAAGGAAGGAAAGAGGGAGGGAAGAGGGCGGGCGCTATTCCCCGCCCCGTCTCCGGGCGCCGCCGCTCTCCTTGAGGCTGCGGTTCCCCCACTTGCCCCCGCAGCGGGTCCTGTCCCCTGGCCTGGACGATGGGAGTCCTTTAGGGGCTCTGGGTGACCTGTGCTGCAGCCAGATGCCAGCGCAGCCCCTCCGGCCCGGGGAGTCCCGCCGGCCCCGGCGCTGAGGGGGGGGGGGGGGGGGGGGGGGGGTGTCGCTCCTGGCAGGCAGCACGGACGGGGGTCGCCTGTCGTGTGCACTGGGTTTAGGATGCAGAAGACGGTCCGGTACCATTTTGATGATGAACCCCAGAGACACGGTCTGGCCTTTCACTCGATCCCTAGGAAAAAAAAAAATAAATTTAAGGCTAGCTTTAGCTGTGACCTTTTTCCTTCCATACGGGCAGTGATTAACTACTAAGGTTTCTTTCATCCATTCTAAGGCACTCCAAATTTAGTTCTTATAAATCTTGTAATTACGGCGTGTTGCTAACCACTTAATGATGAAGATCTCTGTTCTCAGATTTTTGGCGATTTGTTAGGGTTTGGGTTTTTTCCCCCAGCAACTGAGTCGGCTGTTTCTGCTCACAGTCTTGGAGCAGTAACTCCAGAGCCATTTCTTAGCATAATCTGTTCAGGAGAATGCTCTGCTTCCTATCTGACTGATTTTTTTTTTTCCTTGATCCAGCTGATGTGCTTCCACAGCTACCGCTCTAGAAGGTTTAAAGCCACTGTGCTCTTTCCTTTTCCCAAGATAAAATTGGCAATGTTTTGGCTTGATTCATCTTGGTCTTCCAGGCAAGATTTCTGTCTTGTTAAGCAAGAGCTTGATTAGTTGTTTTTTTTATATTTTTTTGGTTTTTTTTTAAGACTAATGGAAGATTAGCATTTCTAGGAGGAGAGGGATAGAATTGCATTTCCATTGCAAATTGGTATGCATTCTTATGCCTTCAAGGAGCTTATTTTGGCTTTCCTGTCAGTGCTGCACCTGTGACCTCTGCCATCGTTTCTTAGGCTTTGGGTTGAAATCAAGGACACTTCCTTTCAGCCCAGTTTACCATTCAAGGCCATTAAAATATCTCCAATCTTAAGGATCCTGGGAGAACTGGGAAGGAATCTTTGGAGCTGGTGCAGACCAAAATACAGCAACTTTGAAAGTAACTTCTTTTTGCTATGATTATTTCTCACTGTGGATCATGCTGCTGGTGGTGATAGTACCCCAACTCATGTGCACCTGGTGACTCGAGCTGCTTTTATCTTTCCAGAAGTTCAGTATTAGAGCTCAAGCAGTGGTGCTGGGTCTCATGACCTACAGCAAGGCTGTTCTGGTACAGGTTCTACTGTTTAATCTGAATCCCCCCTGTCAGAGGGAGAAAACCAGCAGGTGCCACAGAGGCCACATTGCTGGGTTACCCTGGAATCCAGCTGCATGCCAGTCCCTGTTACACAGTAAAACATTTGGACTTTCAGAGAGGCTTGGTAATTTTCTCTCCACACTGGTATTTTGGGACACGTTCTGTCCCCTCAGGTCCCCAAGAAAGTTAAAGGTATCTTCTGCAGCTCCTGAGATCAGCAAGACTGGCTGCTGGAAGAGTAATAATTGTCTCCCTAAGGTAGTGGGATTCAAGTTCTAGGCTACAGTGCTGCTTTAGCAAATCATGCCTTGGGATTGGTAATTTCGTTCGGGAGTAATGTCGATAGGGTGTATGATGATGGCCTTTAATTGGCTTCCTTCTAAATTTCTGAGATAAGCACATTGTTCAGACATGCCATATTCTATTTGTATGTTGCTGATATTTCATTGACCATCCCAATATAACCATCACTTTGATGTGTAAAACATGCATCTTCTCAGGGAACATCTGAAAACCAGGAAACTTTTGGAGTGGTTCCTTATCCAAAGTGCTGGAAAAGAGGCATTTTAGAGTCCTTGCCACACCAAGAAGATGTCATGGTGGAAGGCAGCCTGGGCCATGAAGACTTTGCATAAATCCTGAAAGGCCACTTGGAAATTTTATGTTTTGTTGCCAGTAAGTGAAGAGAGATCAGGGAAAAAGCCATGTTCATTCATGGTGGTAGAACCAGTTATAAACCAGCATGGATTCTGAATCAGCTTTGAATACTGCAAGCTGTAGGCATGCTGTAACTCTCTTGCCAATGCAAGAGGAAAGTGAGATTGAAGAAGCTGGCCCCACTCTACCCCTAGTGCCCTCAGCCCTGGTAATCATCACTGAAGCAAGAATCCTCCAGGCAAAACTTATACACAGTTCCAGTGGGATTTATACAGGGAAACTAATTTACTGTACTTTCCTTTATGCTTTTTGCTGTTATCTTTGAGGCCATTTGGAGCATCCAGTCCTTCCTGCCCCTATGCATCTTACATTAGATCCATATTAGATCCGCTATAGGGCAGAATCACGGCTGGGTGTGTGTTGTCTGTGGTAGGCATTGGTACTTTGCTGCTGGGAGCAGGCCAATTTGATTAATATTGAGAAAGATTCTTTCAAAGACAGGTAATCAACCTAAGCCCTAAGTGCATCAGCCTCTTGATGTGAGAGTCATAATGGCTGGTACTGCCATCAGAGCTGCATTTATAAATCTGTGTGGGAGATTGGCTGCAAAGGAACAAACCCCAGTGATATTAGTGCTTATGCTCGTTACTGGCAGAGCTGACACATCTGAGCAGGAAGACCGAGTGAGGCTGACACTGAAAACAGATACATCTTTCTTTTACGTTTTTTTTTTTTTAATATGGTGGGCAAAGTGACACCCCATGCACAGTCCAAATGAGCCAGTTCTACCTTTTCTCCTGAGTCAAGATGAATGATTAGAGCAAGCTTCTGGCTGGAGGAATACTCTTGCTGTCCTCATGATGCAAAAGATTCCACCTGCTTCTATACAGGTTTGTATTTATTGTACATCAATAAGGAAGCATGAATGTATATGTATACCTAAGAATATTTGTTTTCTCATCTTCAGAGAATGGGTGTTGTCCATTTGGGGACAAATAAGGTAGTATTGAAGGTGCAGATTTACTCTACATTTGAATGCTAAGTCAATAACCCAAAAATCAAGTATAAGTGTAAAAATATACCTAAAACCCCCATCATAAGGAAAAAGCTGACAAGCATTTTTCTATCATTTGCTGTTACTGTGTTTTTCCTTAAATAGCTTCCTCTCCAAGTTGATATTTTTGAGATTTTTGTTCTATTATCACATAGCGTAGGCCTCATTTTGTCCTAAACTTCAGAATTGAATGGAAGATGCTGTGTTAATGACCTTCAGTCAGATCTGAGAACTATGATAGTATTTTTTTTTCTTTTTTCAGTTGTCTTTCTCCTCAATATGGAATTATTTTCACAAAGAAAATTTCTAGATCTTAGTCAGCCCAGGTCCTAATGATAAAGGGAAATTTTTCTGAGCTTTCTTTAGAATACAGTTCTGTAGCCTTTTAGATTGTCATTATTAAATGCTTCCCCCCCATATTTTACAGTTACTTTTTCCATTTCCTAATTTAACCCTACTGCATATCATTAAAACATATCTCTTAATATAGCATTCTGAGTTTCAATTTATCTTTTAATACTTGTGTCCTCTTTTTTTAGTCTTCCTTTATCCATGTTCTGTGCATTCAACTCACTTGCTTTTTTGCTACAAATAAAATTTTACTGCTTACTTGTCTTGCATACAAGTTGGAGGGGGGGGATGTTTTGTCCTGTTGGGTTCCTTTACGAGTTTCAATGCAGCAGGGTTTGAGTCTGATTTTTTTTTACCTTCCTCCTGAAATTCTTACCAAAGATAAACTAATTTAATCTCATAATTCAGGTAGCCTAGGTAAACAGAAAACTTATTTTTATGTATATTCTAGGACTTGAATGAGGATGCCTATTTTTTCAAGACTTGTAGAGGCAGCTGCCTTCCTTTGAAACTAGCACCTTTTAGAAGCCTGTACTTTGGGTTCCCTAGCACCAGAACACAGTGAAACTACATCTCTCTGCAGAACAATGACCTCTGAAAGAAGTGGCATTCTGGCTTCTCTTGGCCTGTCTTCAAAGACAGCCTCTTTTTCATTGTCCATCCATTGGGAAACCCAGAGGATAGCCTTTGAAGCTTCCTAGGGATTTTTTGTATTCCCCACCACCCCTCCAGTGGTCCAAATCCCTTGCTGTTTCCTGGCTTGGGAGTTGGAACCGCAGTGAAGAACAGTGTACCATCCCAGGGGAGAACAATTAATGTGGAAATGTAAGGAAATGGGTACAACAGGAGCTTCATAGAGCTTGTTTTCTAACTGTGCAG